CGGCAGGTCCAGGGCGACCCGTTGTGGGCTCTGGGTCCCTCAAGTTTGGCCTTTGTCCTTCCATGTCCTTTGTGCCAGGGAGCTGTCACGCCGGCTGCCGGTGGTCCCGAAGCCCCCGCTTCCCCTCCCCGGCCATCCTGATGCACACGTGCGAGGAGGAATGCTAATTTTAGACTCCCCTAATGAAGCTGTTCATTTGGAATTCTATTTTAAGTGACCTGACATCAGCAGAGCAGCTTCCCCAGCTTGAAGCTGCTCCAGGGCCCACAGCTGACACCATAGCAAGAATGCTGGCTTTGGGGGACCCCTAGGAGGCCAGGGGGGCTGTACACCGGGTGCTGCAGGCCTCTGGTGGGGCCTGGGCAGCAGGTTCCAGGCTTGGAGGAGAGGGAGGACAGACTCTGGGGGTAGGGTGTCACTGGATGCCTGTAAGGGGTGACAATGACATTCGGGTGGTAGCTGACCCAGGGAGGGAGGAGGCAGAGACTGGACCCTCCTGCTGAGGCCCTGGTCACCCAGGAAGGGCTAAGGCCGTTGGTGGGGGTTGGGGGCCAGCCCCAGTCCCTGGGCTCCTGTGACCGGCGAGTGGGAGCCCCCAGTCTGGGGGGTGCCCCGTGCTCGTTGGTTATACCGGCCATGTGAGGGCAAGTCTTTGTCTCTTTGAGGGCCCCCTTTTAAAATCAAAAACAAAAAAACCCTGGTTTGCTACAGAAAAGGTAGAACATAGGGAGGTAAAAAGGCCAAAAATGAGGAAATTGCTCCTCTTACTGCCACCAGAGACCACCCCCAACAGCCTTGGGGGCGTGTGGTGTGTTGGAGTCTGACCTGCGACTTGCTCCGTGGCTGTTCCCTGCTTATTTCAGCACCTCTGTACAGTCCTTCCCAGCGCTGGCATTTGGCCACCACAGTGTGTCCACCCAGGTCTCAGCTGGCCAACCTGTCATGTGGCCACTAGGCAGTGACCTCACATCTGCTCCCTGGGCTCTGGGGACAGACGGGTCACTGGGAGGCGGGAGGACCGCATGGCCTGGGTCACATCCCTGCTTCCCCTCCCCCGGCATGGCAGCGTGTGGGTGGGGGCTGTGGGGCAGAGTAGAGCCAGCCCCTCTCCCACCGCCCCAGAATGGGTGTGTATCTGGGACCTGACCAGCTGTATGTATGGTCAGGTAATCCTAGCCCTGCTGTTGACTGTGTGTTGGCCCAAGGGCCTAAGCCTGGATTCTCCCATCTGTAAAATGGGCACAGTAATGCTTTTCTCTTAGAGTTGATAGGATTTGAAGGAATGCCAGGAAGAGCGGGGAGGTGGTTAATGGCCTTTGATGGCATCAGAGGGGCCCGTTTGGAAGCTCTAGGTAAAGACATAGAGTATATGGAGATGGTTGAACTTGGGGTCCATGAAGAAAGAAAATAGAGATTGAGGGTCTTGATGGAGGATGCGGTGATGCTCACTGGACCAGTTATCTGATGCTGCATAAAAACCTGCCCCAAACCCAAATGTGGGATTTGGGAGTGGCTCGGCTGCGAGGCTGTGGCTCCTTCTTTGATACCATCTCGTCTGAAGACTCCCGGGGTCAGAGGAGTGAGTACCTGCCAAGATGGTGCCCCACATGGCTGCTCAGTTCCCCAGACGTGGGGCTCTCCACAGCCACTGACCCCTGCGTCTCAAGGGGTCCGAGGAGCCCAGGGAGGTGGCCAGGGGGCTCTGATGACCTCACCTTGGCAGGCACACTCCATACTTCTGCTGTACCCTATTCAGCAGGAGAGTTGAGACGTCTGGCCCATGTTTGAGAGAAGAGGGTTTGTCTCCACCTCTTGAAGGCATGAGTGACAGACTTTGGATGTATTTCTGAACCCCCATCATAAATCCCAGCTCTGAGGGTGTTTGCACCTGTGGTCTGGCATCACAGGTTGGCCTTGGCAGGTGGTGTCATGAGTGGTGAGGACGTGTATCTGGGCCTGGGAGTCGGGTTCGAGTCCCAGGTGTGCTGCTGAACTGTCTCCGGGGCAGCCCCGCATGGTGGTGTCTTCCTCCGAGTGCTGGTAGGACCTCCAGGACCTGGTGCGCTTTGTGCCAGGACTGGGTCTCTGCAAGGGCGGTGCTTCGTTGTATACACCCTCCCCCAAAATAGAGCCCCACTGATCCACTGAGAGCGTCTGGTCCCAAGCGAGACCTGGAAGACTCCTAGGCTGCCCAGATCAGCTCGTGTTGGGGTCATGTCCTTGTCCCTGCAGGCAGCAAGACGAGAGCTCTGGCCCCCTTCTGTCTTGGGGTGTCCTGTGTGTTAACTTCCACCAGCTACTGCCACTCAGGGACGTGGAGAGCTGGGCCATGCAGCTCCTGGCCTGGTCGGAGCAAGGGACAGTGGCAGGGAGGGCTCTCAGGTTGGGGTGAGGGGTGCCCATGCCAAACAGCACACGGACTCCTGACACCAAGTCACCTCTCGTCGCAGCTCTGGTCACCCAGGTGGTGGGGGCCAGTAGCAGGTGGCACAGATTGATCAGCTCGGGTCCCAGTTTGCTGAGCCTGACCTGTATGGACTCACCAAGCCCCTCACCCATCCAGACCTGGGTTTATTATGCCCTCAGTAGCTAACTAGCTGTATGATAATAATAGTGGCCCCTGGCGTGTGCCAGGCCTGCTCTGAAGCCCCTCATGGGATTAATTTCATAAGGGACTCTGTCTTTATTTGCAGTTTACCGATGAGGAGGCTGAGACCAGAGGGGCAGAGTAACTTGCCCAAGGTTGCACAGCAAGAGGCCGCAGAGCTGGGACTCGAGCCCCGGCGTCTGGCAGCCTGATCGGTGTAAGCCCAACCTCTAGGCTCCTGCTGCTTCCTTGCGCTGTGGCCAGCTGTGCAAGTCCTGCGCTCTCTGTCCCTGGGAGAAGAGGGCACCAACAGGGGCCTGGGGCTGCCCTTCCAGAGCTCGGTGTCCGTCGTGCTCGAGGGTCTTCCAGCAGCTGGCTGGGTGCCAGGCTGGCTGAGAAAGGACTCTTGTTAGGAACCTGCATTTTCTAGCCATGGGGCGCCTGGGGTAGGGACCCCCCCACCCCACTGGGTTGTTGCTTTTCCCTGCTGGGCTCGCAGTGCCTGTGGGCATGTGGATCCCACCCCTACTCCCACCCTCTCCCCAGTTCTTCCAGAAAGAGGAAGACACACAGGGTCAGCCTCGGGTCAGCGCTGCCCCAGCTGCTCAACGGGGTTGCTGCTGCCGGCGCCATCCCCCTCCCACGTGGCACCGCCCACGTGGCCGCCAGCAGCTGGGAGGCCAGCCTGCTGGCTGTGGGCGCAGGGGCTCTTGTGGGGGTCCTTTGTTTCCGAGGTACAGACCCTCTCCCAAGAGAATGGTGTTCCCTCGAGCTTGCGCCTGCCTCAGTATTGTCTTTTATGCACCAGCCCCCACCCCAACACTGCCATGGCCGTTTACCCGGCCGTGCCCCCAAGATTTCTTTTCCCACCTGCCTGGCAGGGAACTGATGGCGACCTTAGCCCGGCTGTCCAAGAGTCAGGGTTTGGGATGTGTGTTGGGGCCTGCAGCCTCTCCTGGCTAGTTCTGGGGGCAGCAGATGGGCAGGGCAGGTCTTGGGGCCGACCTGTGGGGATCTCCTGTGCTCACCTGGCCACCCATGGGGATGGGTGAAGAAGCAGGTTCCAGTTAGACTTTAGATGGACTGAACACAGAACCCTGCAGAGATGAGAAGGGCTCTAGGGGGTGCAGAGAGCCTCTTGGGGTGGGGGCCTCTGCTGGGGGAAGCACACGTTCCTGCCACGTTATTCTCTTGAATGTTCTGTTTGTGTCCCCCCTCCCCTTCCATGCCTCCCCTGGACCCCTCCCCAGGTGACCCCACGCTCTTCCCTGGAGCTGCTCCCCTGAGGTCTCCGTCTGAGGCTTTGCAAGTTGGTTTGCCTCTCCCTGCGCACGGCCCGCCCGTTGGCTCGCCCCCTGTGAGGCCGTGGGCCTGGGTTCACGCCCCTCGCATGTACTCATGGTGAGGGAACGGGGGTTGGGCCAGTGCCCCCAAGAGGGCAGGAGATGTTAATGGGAAACTTATTTATGGTGCTGCTCGCGCCTGCTCACGAAGGGGCCTGGCCGGCCTTTGTGATGGGGCGGTGAGGCTGGAGAAGGTCCAGCCTCCTTGGGACTTGAAAGGCTGGGGGCTCCTGGGAAGGCGTCTGATGTCACCCCGTGTGGGAGGCAGCTCCTCGGCCAGCCAGCCTGGGGGAAATGGTGCTTCTCCGCGGATGGCAGTGCAGACCCACAGTTGTAGTCTTTTTCGTGTGGGCGGGGCCCCGGCACAGTCTGCGGGCAGCTGTGCGCTCTGCCTGCTGCTGTCCTCCGAGCTGCCTTCTCAGTGCAGACCTGCCGGGTCCCCGGTGGCTTTGGGATTCAGCGGGGTGTGTTGGTGGCACACAGGGCTCTGGCCAACTCCCCGGAATGATCCTAGGTCTGTGCTGCCTGCCTGTGCGAGCCTCAGTTTCCTTTTCTGGAAGGGGGGCACAGTACAGAGCCAGCCTCCCCAGAGTGCCAGGCAGGCGGCCGGGCAGGCTGTGCTCTAATGTGAGCTGTTCTCGTGATCAGCACCAATGCCGCCCTTCTGTCTGCGGGTGTTCCTCTGGTTCTTGCAGGAATGCGGGCCCGTGCCTCGTCTCCCCTGACCCCTGTCAGGAGGCGCTTTCTAATCTCCGGGCTGCCCTGGGGAGGTGGTGGGGTCGTGCCACGGGTCGTGTTGGCAGGAGCTTTTTGGCCTCTAAAATCAACAGGGTCCTGGGCACAGGGTTCTTTGTGGATGGATCCTAGAGGGTGGGGGTCGCCGGGGCGAGGCTCCAATCTTTCCGTAGCGCTGGCTCTGTTCTGCTTCACCTGTCCTGCCGGGTCGCCCGGGCCTCCTGCCGTCCCTGCATGCTGCCCGCTGGTGCCGGTCCCGGGCCCTGCAGACCCCGCTCTGGTGCTGGGCCCTCCTGCTCTCTGGGTGACCTCTGGTTCTTCTTTTCCTGTTTCAGGCATGAGCCATGAGCCCAAGTCCCCTTCACTAGGGATGCTTTCCACCGCGACCAGGACCACCGCCACCGTCAACCCCCTCACCCCCTCGCCGCTCAATGGCGCCCTGGTGCCCAGCGGCAGCCCCGCCACCAGCAGTGCGCTGTCGGCCCAGGCCGCGCCGTCCTCCAGCTTTGCCGCCGCGCTGCGCAAGCTCGCCAAACAGGCGGAGGAGCCCAGAGGTAAGAGGCGCACCTGCCAGGCTGCGGCACGAGGGAGGGGGAGAGAGCGAGAGCAGCCCCTTCCTTCCTGCCCAGGCCTCGCCGGCTCCTGCGAGGAGCAGGTGCCCGGGACGCAGCTGTTCCCACGAGCCGCGCCGCCTTTGAAGGGCTCCGGAGGCAGGGCCGGCCCGCCCACGTGCTCGCAGCCCCATCTACTCTTGTTTCTCTCGGGCTGCTTGGTCCCGGCGGGGACAGTGCTGTCTGCCTGCAGGCCCTCCTGGGCCCTGGGAGCCCACCAGCCCCGGCACCTCTGCTCTGCTCCTGCTTCTCGCGCGCTCTGCTGCTTCTGTCCTTCTTGGGCTCTAGGAGCCACTACGGGGGTGTCCGGTGGCCTGTGGCTGAGGCGGTGGGCGTGCTGGGCCACGGGAGCCCCAGGGGACTTCGGAGGGCTTGCTGGGCCCTGCTGCCCGCCTCAGGAGCCTCCAGCCTGCTCGGGGGAACCTCTTCCCAGGCGTCATGTTTCCCGGGAGACCAGGAACTCCAGGCCTTGATACCCACCTCAGACGTGGCAGGGCATGCTGTCTCTGGAAACGTTCCTTGTCCCAGAGCGGAGGGGCACAGCTTAACCCCCCAAGGCTGGAATTCTGTGGTGGCGTGGACAAGTGTCCCCCAGCAATCCAGAGCCCTGTCCCCTGGTGTCACTTGGGCAGTGATGTGCTGTGTGACTTTAGGCAAACACGGACCCTCTTTGAACTTCAGCCTTCCTGTTTGTACCGCAAGACTTGCTACAGCACTGGCTTTGAGCACTTCTGAGGGTGACGGTCAGCCTGTCTTGGTGAAGGGCTGCTGGTTGGATGAGTCAGGGTGGCAGGAGCAGTTTGCTGCCAGGAGGCCTGGGTCCCTGCGGGTTCTGGTGCAGGCCTCCCAGACACCCTCTGGGCTCACTGCCTAGAGGCAGGGAGTCGACCTCCCAGGCAGAGGAAGAGGGTACCCTGGGTGCTCTGCTTGCCCCGAATGTTCGAGGCTTGATCCTGGGCTCCGCGGCCCTCTTGGGCACCCAGAGGACATGAGTGCGGGAACTCTGTTTTCACAGACCCCAGGCCTCCAGCTCTGCAGAACGGACATTGGTCCTGACTTGAGTGGGCTTGGCATCTGCCAGTTTCTGAATTCCACCTGTTCCCAGGCCCTTCCTGCTTCTGTAGTTACTGGCGGAGGAGGAAGTGTTGAGGGAATAGGCTGGAACTGACAGGCAGAGTGGATACTGGCCCAGGAGGAAAGGCCACGCGCGGGGCCTGCTCTGCTAGGGATGGGCCTTGCCACGGGCATCTGCCTGGAGGGGGCTGCCCCGTCCACCCAGACAGGCCTTCCCTGTCCCCGCACACACGCCTCTCCTCGCCTCCACGCCCACCAGGGGGCGCCCTGACCGCATGTGGGCAAGACCAGCGGCAGGAGCCCCGCTGGTGTCCGGAGGCCCTGCCGTTCGGGGCCCCCGCACACCACACAGCTGGAGAGCAGAGAGGCAGTGAGCACCCTGCCTGGCCTGGTGCGGCCCTCCGAGCACTCGTCCCAGGCTGGCTGCAAGCCCCACAGGAGAAGTGTCTGCAGTGGGAAACCTGAGCTGGGGTTGAGACCTGGGGGTCTCTTCAGAGTCTGCGAGAAGCCCCCTGGGGCAGAATCTGCCCAGCAGACTTGACTGACTTCCTCCTTGGCATCCCAGGAGGCAGAGACACAGGGCCGGTGCGGCTTTCAGAGACGGCCGTCAGCACATGGGAGGACGCTGGCTCCATCTGGCTGAGTCACCCCCGAGTGTCGGGGCTTCATCCACCAGCTGTGTCCACTGCTGGCAGCTGGGCTCGTCCTGGGGTGACACCCCTCATGCACAGAGGATGTGGCGGTGTGAGGACAGGCAGTGGCGAGGTCTGCAGACATGGCTCATGTGAGGGCCTCAGGCACAGAGCAGAGCTGCCTTGATGGCCTTTGTCTCCTCTCTGCTGCCCCAGGCTGGCCCCAGCATCCGGCTCGAGTAACAGGCCAGTGGGCAGCCAGTGTGGCAGAGGCTGCCGAGCCTCGCTGGCCAGGAACAGAGTGTGCCGCTGGGAGGGCCCTGCTCCCCGAGCTGTATCCGAGTGTTCTGCGTGGTGCTCTGGGAAGGGTGCCCAGGGACTTTGCAGCAAAGGGTCAGGAGGAGGAGAGGGGTGAGCCACGCTGGCCCGAGCTCATACTGTCTTCAGAGGGTGGTGTCTGCCGCAGGCCGACCCAAAGTGAACCCCATCATTCTGATGAGAAGGCCAAGGCCTGGGGGACTCAGCACCTGGGGAGCAGTATTTGGACCCTGGGCCGCCCTGGTATGAAGTTGTGCTGTGTGTCCTGGGCATGTGTCATTTCTGGCCACAAGCAAAGTCTGAGAGTTAAAAGCAGTAGCAAAGAGCTCTATTTGTGATGCTCCATCTGGTCAACCCCACTGGGGCCTCAGGTTGAAGACATGAGCTCAGTCACTCCTTGGAGCATCCTCTGGGCCACACCCACACCTGGTCCCTGCTTTTCTCACTGAGTCGCCCCAGTGCTGACTGGCCATCTCACCTGCCTACAGACTGGGCTGGCAGCCCAGAGTTGGCCCATTGTACAGATGGAGGAGCTGCAGCTCAGAGAGGTCAAGTCGTGAGCCTCAGGTCACACAGGTGGCAAGGATGTGCCCTGTGTGTGTCCTTCGCTGCTGCATCTTAAGCCTTTCCAAGGGGACATGGCTGGACTCAGGACGGCAAGCCCGAGTGCGTCGCCCTGGCTGGGGGAGGGGTGCCTCGGCCCCACCCCCAAGCACCCGCCACAGGGGCGCAGCGTCTGTGCTTGGTGCTGGGGTCGGGGTGGGTGCAGAGAGGGGTGGGGGCTGTCAGCTTCTGGAAGCCTGGATGCAGCCAGGGCTGGAGGGGAGAGCCGGCAGGCCCCAGACCCCGTGCCCTGCCCCTCCAGAGAGCCCGAGGGGGATGTTTGCTGGGCTTGGTGATGGGGGAGAAGGTGTGAGTTTTTTTAATCCTGTTAATTTCTTAAGATATCATTCACATCCCTTGAAACTGATCTTTTAAAGCATACGATTCAGTGGGTTTTCCTGCACTCAGAGTTGTGTGACCATCACCCTTAATTCCAGAACATTTTTGTCACCCCTAAAAAGCACCCCGTCCCCACACCCTTGCCCAGCCCCGGCAGCCACGATCTGTCTCTGAGTCTGCTGTCTGGATGTCTGCCACCTGTGGGCTCGTGCAGCCCCGTGACCGGCTCCCGCGCTCAGCCCCGTGTCTCTGGTTTTGGTGACTGGATGACCTGGCGGTTGGACAGCACCTCACACCTGACACCAACTGTGTGAGGAGGTAGACCCAGTGAGGGCTGTTCCCTCCTTAATCACGGCGGTGATGGCTAACTGAGCGCCTGCTGTGTGCCAGGCAGTCCCCCACTGCGTCCCTAGTGCAGGCCTGGCCTTTGCTCTCTGTCCATCTTGCCGCTGGACAAAACCTAGCTTTCAGCTTCTGGCTTCCTGAGTCATAAGCAGCAGAGGGGAGACTGGAAACTCCGCGAACCTGTGTCCCAAGATACCATGTCTTTCTGTGTCCCGCCCCCACTAGGCCCCCCCACACCCATGTCCCCCTCCTCATAGGGAGGGAACCAGCGCCTCTGCTGAAGGCCTCCCTCCTGTGAGGGCGAGGCCTCCTGTCTCTTTAAGATGCCCCAGGATGCTGGTGTAAAACGCCCCTGTGGCCCTAGAGGAGCTAGCATCTTAGTATCTGGAGGCTGAGGTGACCCAGGACCCCATGACCAAGCCCCGGCAGCCCCGTCCTCACAGGCAGAGCGGTCCCAGTAGAGCCAGCATCGCTTCCAGACCTGGACAGGGAGATGGTGGGAGGCGGGCCTGACGGTGCAGAGGAGACAGGCGAGGCTGCGGGCCCCCATCCTGCTGTGGGGCCGTCCTGATCGGCTGCACACCGCCTGGGCTCTGGCTTCTGCCCTGGGTGCCTCCGGCTCCCCGTGACCCTCCCCGCCCCCTTCCCCCACCTGGAGGCGTCTTACTCTGAGCCGCGAACCGCTCTCCCCTCTGCTTCCCAGGCTCTTGTCTCTCCTCACGTCGTGTCTCCGGGGTGCGGTTTAAAAATTCAGTTCCGAGCAAGGAATCTACACGCCGTGTCACTTGCTCTGCCCCCGAGAGAGGACGTGAGGAGGTGGGAATTTTACCTTTCCTGAGGCTCCAAGATACGTTCTTTCCTTCGTAGCCACACGGCCCTGCTCGGCCCCCTCGGCCTGCGTGTCTGCCCCTGGGGGACTCCTGAAGGGACTGCACGCGCAGGGGGACGCCTGGACCCACGCGGCCCTGTCACCCACTTCCAAGTGGGCACTCAGCCAGGCGGACACGGGTGTTGGCAGGCTCTGGTCACATCCTTGCTGTGTGTCCTGGCATGGCGCTCTCCCTCTCTGAGCTATCTTCTGTCTCAGGGTGAGGGTAACATCCTGCCTTAAAGATACTAGTGACTGGGGGAGAACACGAGCTCCAGGCACAGCGCTGCATGCAGCAGATGAGGTCTACCAACCATGGCCACCCCGTTCCCTGCCCCCACTGCCTTCCCCCACCCCCAGCAGCACAGCCCGGGGCTCTCGCTGGGAGGGGCTGGGAGAGCAGAGTGCTGCGCATGTGTGCGTCTTGAGACCCAAATTGGCCCCATTTTGAGGGAGAACCTGTCCCGTCTGGGCAGAGGTGGGGGGTCAGCCCTGGCCACCAGGGCAGCTGCTGCCTGTCCCGACAGCGTGGGTGCTTCCAGGCCCAGGGCAGCCTCCGCCACAGACCCTCGTGCCCCTGAGACCCTCGTGCCAGGACCGTCGCCTTCGGTCTTTGGAGAAAGGGGGGTCTCAGGACGCGACCAGGCCCACGCTGCACGTTCTGCAAGGAGCCTTGGGCTGCAGTTTGGGTCTGACCCCATGTTGGTGGTCCTGGTTGTACCCATGAGACCCTTTGTCAGTGCCAGGCGAGGGCTCCCCAGCTG